GAATTACAATAAAAGTCCGTTAATGATTACACAGGATGAGTTTTAATCCTATTTGTTTATAAAATCATGTGGTTTCTGATAAAATTTTATCTTTTCCGGAACAGTTTTATCTTTAGTTTTATCAGTATTTTCACCTGCTCAAATGAGAATCTAATTTCGATTTTAGTTTCAGTGTCTGATTTTCGATATTTTTGACAAACCTACAACAATAGTTTAACTCTTTTCTTAAATTGTGAAACTTTCTTGAAACTTCTTGCCAGTGAAACTCTGATGAGACTTTATTGCTTTGTAAACTGTAATCACGTCATGGATATAATCTTGAAAATTTAAAATTGCAATATTAAAGAATAAACTCGATACTCAATACCAATTTCGATACGCAAGTGACCACCTTAAAAGCTCTTTTTTTTTTTTACACGATATTGTAATTTTCAACACCAAATAATACAATTTGTTCATCGATTGTGAAGATGAACAAGATTCTGGTATAAAAACTCACTGTGATGATGTCAAAAATGGTCAAAAATGTCCAAAAAGTTCCAAGGCGCGCTGTTGGAATTACAATAAAAGTCCGTTAATGATTACACGAGACAAGTTTTAATCCTATTTGTTTATAAAATCATGTGGTTTCTGATAAAATTTTATCTTTTCCGGAACAGTTTTATCTTGAGTTTTATCAGTATTTTCAGTATCAATACCTGCTCAAATGAGAATCTAATTTCGATGTTAGTTTCAGTGTCTGATTTTCGATATTTTTGACAAAACTACAACAACATTTTCACTCTTCAGATTTCAGTCTTCTTTCAGATTTGTTTACTTTTTTTTTAAACTTATTGCCAGTGAAACACTAATGAGACGTTATTGCTTTGTCTGGAATGTTCCACAGTCTGGAATTAAACCTTTCTATCTTCATGGAGACCAAACCAGACCAAGTTACAGGTCAGATCTGTGGAGAGGCGACCCCGCTCACAGTCAGAACGCCTGTTTTTCTCGTTATTTTTGAGCTATAAAACCACCTGTAATGGGATAAAAGTAACATAGAGCTGTTTAAAGTCACGCTGCGGAACATTCCAGGCAGCAGAGCAGTGGCGTATCCATAGAAACAAGCAGGTGACGGAAAGAAGCTTCATTCAGAATTTAGATTTTAGTACTTTATTTCTTAGTTGATTTTAAAGAAACTGCAATTACATCATGGATAGAATCTTGAAAATTAAAAATTGCAATATTAAAGAATAAACTCAATACCAATTCTGATACTCAAATGACAACTTTAAAAGCTCTTTTTTTACACAATATTATAATTTTCAGCACCAGATAATATTTGTTTGCAAGATGGACCAAGGTTCTGGTGTAAAAAGTTGCTGTGATAATTTAAAAATCAACAAAAAAAACTCGAAAAATTCCAAATTCCAGTACAAAAAAAAAGCTGTTTAATGTCATACTGCGGAACATTCCAGGCAGAAAAATGACATATCCATATTTATATATCCAAAATTACAATTGAAATTAAATGTATATACAAAAATACACAAATAATACTAAAAAGAAGTATCATAAAAGTGAATTTTACGAAATAAAATCGCAAGAAAGAACGAAAAAAAGGAGACAGACGAAAAATCCTGTAAAAGCACCTAAAGTAGAGCTGCTTAATGTCACACTGCGGAACATTCCAGGCAGAGCGGTGACGTATCCATAGAAACAAGAAAGCCAAGAAAGCGATGGACCCCCAACCGCAAAGTTCCGCAGTGCAGCTTTAAGAAAACGTTAAGTCGAGCGTTTTGAAGACAGTTTTGAGGATTTCTGTTGATTAAAAACCTCGAAAGCTCGCGAGCGTCCGCAAGTTCAAACCGGCCCACAAAAACCGCCCCGAGGAAAGATTTAATGCTCGGGGGATTAGTTAATTCGTTTGTGAAATGTGGAAATTCTAAAACCGCTTTGGGATCCGGGAGTTTAAAGGTGCACTGTGTAACTTTTCTGGTGGAGGGTCCGTCAAACGCTTCTCTACGTGATTTGTTTTACGGAAAGTGTCACATTTTTATCTTCTTGGAGACCAAAACCGGACCAAGTTACGGGGTCAGATCTGTGGAGAGGCGACGCAAAAAGTCAGAATTTTGTTTTTTTTTGAGTATTTTTGCTCTTTAAAATCACTTGTAGTTGAATAAAACGAAAATAAAATCAGTTAAAATCACTTTGCAGGAATTGTAAAACCGCTTTTTGTGCAACTTTTTTTTTGATTTCGAGGGTTTTCCTGAACACTTGTCTTGTTTGAAATGTTCCGCAATGTGGCTTTAAACGCATCTATATCCATAATATAAGTTCGTGACAGCGCCTGGCCGAGTTACAGTCCAGATCCGTGGAGAGGCGAGCCCCCTCAAGTCCAAACGCGTGCTTTAAATTCCAAGGTGTTTCTAGGCAATAAACCGGCGATCGTTAAATTTAGGTGAGGTACGTGACGTTAATGCCGCACTGTGGAACATTCGGGTAAAGCAAAAAGCTACAG